CTTTACCCCCAAATATCACTCACCCTAACCCTGCCAGGGACTTGGACCCCTTAGTTCAAATGTAGGGAATCCTGGAAGGCAGCAGGTTCAGGAACACTACACATATCATGAGGACAGGAACCATTTCTCCTTTGCTCCTTTATCACTAGAATTTTATGCTGTGCTGGGAGTAAGGCAGGAATAGATAAATGAAAGAGAGAGGGGGAAGTGAGATATAAAGACATTAGCTACTGGCACTGTCTGTCTAGAGATCAGGCAGTTAGCAGAAGGCTGGCCTGAGATCTGGGGGCAGCAGGAGATACTAGGTGTCTGGGGACAAGACAGTTGGAGGTGGTGGTCAACACAGACAGTACCAGCTGATTTTGTAAGAGGCCAGCCATGCCCTTTTCTGTTATCTTCTTATACTAGTCCCTTAATATATATTATTTATTATACATAATGTGTGTACTATATATACATAGCAAATCTCATTATAATATAGTCCCTCATTGTCACCACCCTCTTTATTCTTATATAACTTTTTATTAGTTGCCGGACCACACGTTGGGCTTTCTCCATCCATTCTGCATGATTCCATTGTTCTTTTTCCTTTCTTTCCCAGGGCAGAAAGAAATAAGGAAGGAAAAGAGGAAAAGATAGATAGATAGATAGATAGATAGATAGATAGATAGATAGATAGATTGAGAGAGAGAGAGAAAGGAAAGGAGGGAGGTTGCTTCCATTTCTGTATATGGAAATTCTTACCTTGCTCCAAGTCCCAGATCATATACTCTCTCCTTCATGAAGACTTTGCTGATCACATTTTCTCAATTTAATTGCTTCCTCTTCTCAACTGTTATAACTCATTATCTGTACATCTCTCATACGTTTATCATCTCATCTCTTCTTTTATTGCCACATGTTTATAATTCACTCAGTGGACCTTGTATAGGACCTGCCATGTGTCAGGTGTTGTGCTAGGTATTGGGGGTGCAGAGACCTGATTTCTAACCTGAAAGAGGTCACAATCTAACAGACAAGGTAGACATATGAAGTCTCTTTAACCCACTGTGTTAAAGGCTATAAGATATGTGTGAACATGTTTGTTTTTCCAGAGAAGATGTCAAATGGTAATTTAAGGTTATGTGTATAAATATGTACATATGTGCATATATACATATTATCATAACTATATACTAGCTTTTCTAGCTATATTTATATATACACTCACTTATGTAGTAGGGACTTTTCTACTACCCTGTCCCTGTGTGTGTGTGTCTGTATGTACATGGCTTATATTAAGAGAGAGAAGTGCTATTTACTTATGAGTTATTCTAATTTGTTTTCATTTATCTTGCTGTCTAAAATCTCTCCAGGATTGTAGCCAGTTAGGTAAAAAAGTTACTTATTTGACAGTTTATTTCACAAACCTGGGTCTCCTAACAATTTGTCTAGTTCTTTTCTTATTACACATCTCTGTTTTCTATTTTTTTCCTCCAAGAACCAAAAAATCAAAAGTTATCTTCACCCCTGGGCTTTGAGCCCTGGCTCTCTCCCTGATTTCGAATTCACATAAGAGTACTCCATAACTATTTGTGGAATCCATGAATGAGTGATAAACTCCTGGAGGGCAAGGGTATGTATTTCTTCTCCCTGTATTTCTGTTCATTGCCTTGTGCACAAAAAGCCCACATAAACATTTGCTGAATGGAGAAGCATTGCATTTAGAGTACAACAGGCATGGTGGAGTCATATAGCCCTGGGTGGGAATGTTGGCTCTGTTTTCTTCTAGTTGGTACCATTGGGGCAATTTGCTTAGCTCTCAGGACTCAGTTTCTTCATCTGTAAAATGGGGATATTATATAACATCTGCTCAGTCTCAAAAATTTGTGAGGATGAAGAAGCATCCAGCATAGTATTTAGCACATAGTAGGGGTTCAATTAATGCTTTCTCCCTGCTGCTTCTTTGAATTTGAGTGTTCACTCTCCTCTGGGAACCTCTATTGGACAAGAACCAAGTCAGGTTTTTTTATGGGCCCTCCACCCTTCCTCACCACACCCAGCCACTGGTGATTCCGAGGCACACTCCCATTTTCTCTTTCTATTCTGACTACCTTCCCAGCAGCCTGGGGCTTGTTAGGTGGGCTTACTGCTTGTGTTTTTAGCTTTCCTTCCTGGTAATTCCCTCCTGAGTGGCGAGAGAAGCCAGAGGTGGCCAAGCTTTCTTTTGTTCTTGGTTTTGTTTGCTTGACATAGAATGTCTAAAGGCTAAGGATTACATTATCAACTCTTCATTGCTTCATTATTATCCTTCTATGCTGGCTCCCGGGGAAAGGAAGCTTCTAGCCCCCCCTTCTCAGTGTTGGGACCTTTCCTCTGGGCAGTGCTGCAGTGACTTTGCTGAGACATCCTCCTCATACATCCGTCTGCCCTCTTTGTTAGGCTAAACTCATTGTGGAGGAAGGGGTGCTTTTCTAGATTGTGGTCTCAGCAAGGTGGGAGGGTGGTGTCACTGAGGCACAGACTTGGGACAGGAATCAGGATGTGCTGGAGTATTTCTCAAAGCATGGTCCTCCAGTTGCCACAGGAAGATTTATGGACACTACGCAGACACCTCAAGTCAAACTTGCTAGGAGTGGGGCCAGCGGATCCACATCACTGCTCCTCAGTGACCATTAGGCTCCATTCTACTCATGGAGTGGGAATAGTGTCCTGGGCACTTGGTCAAGGTCACACATTATTGGGACTTCAACCTGAGTCACTTTCTCTTTCTGTGTCGCAGTTTCCTCATCTGTAAAATGAAGGTAGCAGACTAGATTCATACCACCCCTTTCTGAAGACTATGATTTACTGCCCAAACACCATTATCTTTCATTGACTCAAAAAGTGATTATTTATAGGAACCTTTGACATGCTTAGCCTGTCTGTTAGGGAGGCAGAAGTACGAACCACGAATCCTACCCTAAATTGTTAAAAGTCTATGAGACGGTAACTGATGGGATATGTAGGCCTGTTGGGATATCTGGGCACTGAGCCATGCAGGCTGGGCCCACCTGTGCTTTTAAATACTGACTGAGTGACTGTAGAAAAAATAAGGAAAAATAAAAGGGAGAAATCTGTTGTGTGTGTGTGTGTGTGTGTGTGTGTGTGTGTGTGTGTATTAATTCTACAAAACAGGACTTATCGGGCACATTGTTAAGCATCTGGTTGGGAAGGGTGTGGATAAGTCCCTTGCCTTCAGTAGCCCCTGATTTTAACAAATGAGGAAACTCTTTGTGACTGGGAGAGGCCGGGACCACGGAGTGACTGAAGAGCAGCTCTGTGCATGGGATTCACACTCCTTGCTGTTGCGCTCTGCTAATAGGACAGGTGGCTTAGCAGAGTCTACTGTTCTACAAGAGCCATGCCAATGATGTCTCTCTTGGCTTGGCTGTTTCTTGCCAATCCACCACTTCCCAGCACAGGACTCGGTCAGAGAGGAGACCTATGAGCCCTCTAGTAATGGCCCCGCAGAAAAGTTGAATGTCCTAAACCAACTTTGCCATGGACTCTCTGTGACCTGTAATGGGTCACATCCTTGCCTCTCATTTGTTTCTCAGTTTACATAAAAGAAATGGAAATGGAGCTGACTGACCCCATGGGGTGCGGGATGAGAGTAAATATCAAAGTGAGTGTTTTGTTGTCGGTTAAATGCCATAAACATGTTCAATATAATGGCTGATTATTTTTCTTTAATTGTAAATGGATACCTAGAATGGGAAGGCCCATCTTGGTAGCAGAAATTCATTATCTCAGAAAGTGTTTAATGGCTGCTGTGCAAATGAACTGGAGGAAGTTAAATTGTGGAATGGGCTGGAGCTGAGAAAAGTGAAATGAGTTGTGCATTAAATTTAGATAAACACAATTATGTGTAACTGGATTATGACGCGTGCAGGCAGACACAGTATATTAGGCACCTGCGTTTTGATTAAAATCGATTCAGGTGCAAGCGCTTAGCATTTTTGTAATACGGAGTTGTGCCTAAGCCACTGTCCAGGTTCATGAGGGGAAGGCAGGGAGATGTTTTATATCCAAGGCTCCAGCTGGGGAAATTTAAAGGGCATAGGACAGAGATGGCAAACCTATGACACTTGTGTCAGAGGTGACATGCGAACTCATTTTTTTGGTTGATTTTTCTTTGTTAAATGGCATTTAAATATATAAAATAAATATCAAAAATATAAGTCTTTGTTTTACTATGGTTGCAAATATCAAAAAATTTCTATATGTGACACGGCACCAGAGTTAAGTTAGGGTTTTTCAAAATGCTGACACGCCGAGCTCAAAAGGTTCGCCATCACTGGCCTAGGACCAGACCCACCAGCCAAGACCATTTCAGCACCGGCCTTGTGATTTCAACTGGAGTCAGGAAAGTGTCCTGGAGTCCAGTGGAGTCCAATGACCTGCGTACTCCATGGTGGGGATGGATGCTGCATGGTAGGTGGCAGGTGGCATCAGGGACTATTGGGGACTCGACCTGCCTGCCATAGAAATATTTATGGCCCTAGTGGCAACACAAAATCTCTTTGAACCCCTGTAGGCAGAATGGGGCCCAGTTCCTTCTACCTTTTTAGCCCAAGTCTGCAAGTCAGAGTCATCTCCAGATCAAAAGCTGCCCATCCTCTGATCCCCGGGGTGGCCACGCCAGTGAGCGGAGCCAGCCAGCTGTGCCTGACCTTGAAGAAGGACAGCTGTGGAGAAACAACTGTCAATTCCCAGTGAATTCCTGTTGGCATGTTTTTCTTTCAAGTGCAAAGCATCTTCAGGATTAAAATAAATGCTACCAGCTCCTGGGGATGCATTAAATGAACATGTTTCCCCTTGTTTGATCCTATAATAACCCGTCAACTAAAGGGATCGCTACTAAGCCTTCCTCTGGGTGATTTGAGACGCAGTGCATATTGTTATACAAACTAACATAAGCTTCCTTTTTCTCCCCCTTTTGTTCCTCTCCTCTGCCCTCCTCCTCACCCCCCTCGCAGGTCATACTTATCCTGACGAAGCTTTATGACTTCAACCTGGGGAGCGTGACTGAGAGTTCACTTTGGAGGTAAGTGGCTTAGAGGTTCTTAAGGGGCCACTTGGCTGAGCTCACGTGAGAAATGCCAGCTGAGGGGCTGGGAAGCCTGTTTGGAAGGAGCAGAAGGGGGAGGGGGTCCTCCCCTGAAGCCCTCTTTAGTGTCCCCGAAGGCACCGATGGCCTGCACCTGTGGATTGCCTTAGCACTCTGCTTATTTCTTTCGGGGCCGGTCACATGTTCTCCTGGGCAGGGCTGTTGCTTCTGTGTTCTGCAGTGTCTCGCGCTTCCAGGTGAACGCAGGTGCGGTTGGAGAGACGGGGGAGCGTGCCTGACAAGGGGAGACCGTGGGGAAGGGATCTGTTGTAGGAGGGATGCTTGTCCTGGTGCTGTTGTCAGTCCTTGGCGTCTGTGAGGCGCCGTTGTTTTTGAGAAGCCTGCACTTATGAGAATACACCCATGTGGGAATCAGGGCTGTGCAGGGACTTTCACGGTCCCTAGCCTTTGTGGGCTCCTTCCTGTAGACCAGCGGTTCTCAACCTGTGGGTCGAGACCCCTTTGGGGGTCGAATGACCCTTTCACAGGGGTCGCCTAAGACCATCGGAAAACACATATATAATTACATATTGTTTTTGTGATTAATCACTATGCTTTAATTATGTTCAATTTGTAACAGTGAAATTGGGGGTCACCACAACATGAGGAACTGTTTTAAAGGATCGCGGCATTAGGAAGGTTGAGAACCACTGCTCTAGACAATAATATTAAAAGATATATCTTATGAGTGCATTGGTATGACAAATGCGTTAAGACACTTTTTCAGCCTAAAATTGCATTTTTTTTGTTTTGACTTTAAAAGGACGAAGGCATTTGTGTCCTAGGCTCGGTGCCCATAGTGGGTGGTGGGTAAATCAGCCCTGATGGGATGCTGTGGCACCAGGACAGGAAGAAGGGGGTAGCACAGGCAGGGCTTGCACGCAGCCAGCCATGAACCTAGGAGTTTCTCTGGATCGGGGACGCCTGCACACTTAGCCTTCCACAGACCTCCTCCACGCATGCTCTGCTCACAGCCACACTGCCTGCCACACAGGACGACAGCAAGTTTCATCAGCCACCGGGAGTCCGCATTTCACGTCCATACATATTCTACCATGGGACTCAAGAGGCCGCGTATGTGTCCTGTGTCCTTTGTCCTTTGTCAATACTGGGGAGGATGCTGTCACAAAAGGCCCTTCACTTGCCTGTGTCTTCATCCCAGAGCCCTGTCCCGAGGGTTTCCTGGGGTCTGCAGCTGAGGCGTCTGGGCCGTGAATGTCTGCCCACCTTGCTGCTGCCTCAGGTGACTTGTTTGTTTGCAGAGGACTAGCCAGGGCTTCTCTCCCAGGGAAGGGGAGCAGTCACAACATCTATTAAATATTTAGGGGTTAATTGCTCCTATTGATTGAGGCCTGCCTCCATTTGCACAAAATGTCCAAAACCTAATTTTGCTGCTCATTGAATATTGGCAGAGGTATAAGTAACCAGGGGCTTGTAATATATGAAAGCATGCCTGTTTCCACTCATGCAGGACTCCCAGAGGATTAGAGGCTCAGACACCTTCCTAGCAGGTCCAATCGCAGTGATAGTGTGCTGACCCCTGAAGCCTGACTCCTGTACTGTCTGCTTAGTGCAAATAACAAAGCAAGCCCCACGTGGTGAGACCTGTTAGGGATTTGAAAAGCTGGGGGATATTGTGGGCTTTCCCTGTGATTAAATGCTATATAAGAATGTACTTAAAAATGTTTTTTATTGATTTTTTTAGAGAAAGAGGAAGGGAGAGGAATAGAAACATTGATAAAAAAGAAACATCATCATCGATCAGCTGCTTCCCACCCCCCGCCGCCCCCCATCAGGGATCGAGCCTGAAACCCTGGCATGTGCCCTGACCAGGAATTGAACCAGTGGCCTCCTGGTTCACAGGTCGATGCTCAACCACTGAGCCACACTGGCTGGGCTAAGAATATGCATGTTTTTTTTTTTTTAAGTATTGATTGATTTTAGAGAGAGAGAGGAAGGGAGAGAGAGACATCTACATGTTCCCCTTATTTATGCATTCATTGGTTGATTCTTGTATGTTCCCTGACCAAGGATTAAACCTGCACCCTTGGTGTATCAGCACTATGCTTTAACCAACTGCGCACCTGGCCCGGGCTATTGTGTTGTGTTTCAGAAGGTTCATGCGTCTGATAAAGCCCAGCTTAGGAACCTGCATAGAGTATGATTGAGGAAAGAAACTGCTCCTCAACTTTGTGGGAGTTTTACCAATTGCTGGGGCCTCTTCTAACTTAAAAATATATATATATTTCAGAGAGGAAGGGAGAGGGAGAGGGAGAGATTGATAGAAACATCAGCTATGAGAGAGAATCATCCATCGGCTGCTTCCTGCATGCCCCATACTGGGGATCGAGCCTACAAGCTGGGCATGTGCCCCGACTGGGAATCGAACCTCCTGGTTCCTAGGTCGATGCTCAACCACTGAGCCACGCCAGCCGGGCCTCTTCTACTTTTTACTGTCTTCCCTGCTCAGCTCCTAAAGAGAGTGTCTCCCACTCTCTTTTCTATACAGAAGATGATGCATTTTAGTTAGAGCCTAGAGCACTATGATCTTCCTTAGTAGCACAGTGTGCAGAGGAAAGAAACTAAATAAAACATGCACCCATTCGGATGCATGATTTGGCCCAGCGTGCTTAACCACGCTGAAATTGAATTTGGTGATTCTTCAATCTTCTGTCTAACAGAGAAGCCTGGAGCAGTAGCTGCCACGACAAGATGACACTCCCTGGCAGGTTACAGTGTGATATAATTATTTGCCTCATTGGATTAATAATTCAGAGATCATCTACCTCTAAATAGACAAGACTGTTTAAAAGCACTCGGCGATGTAGCAGTATCTTGTGCCCTGTGACCCTCTTTCCGGAACTCCTTGGTGCTATTATATGAGATTCAAATTTTTTTCTCCACCAACAGAAGGATGGCTGCGTAGATTGGCCATTAGCACAACCGTCTGTTGGCATCTCTTAGTCAAATGACATTTTACATATAGGATTTCAAGCTTAGAGAATTTGTGAGGTTAGGGACTGACTTTTTAAAAAGAACAAGGCTTTTACTTTCAGCCCATAGTGTGTCAAGCTTGGGGGCTGCCCATCAGTCAAGGGTGATATTGGGCCCCAGCTCTATTGGATTTGAGGTAAGCCTGACTCGAAGAGGAGTGGTGAGTCACGGTCAGGAGGCTCAGCATCCATCAGTTTCCTTCTCAGCGAAGTATGTAAGTGAAGGCTCTGGGACTGACGGCCTGGGTTCAAGTTCACGCTTTTCCACTTAGCCACAGAGTGACCTTGAATAAGTTTCTTCACCTCTCTGTGCCTCCATTTTCTTATCTGTAACAATGAGGATAATATAAGCATCTACCTCAGGGGTCCTCAAACTTTTTAAACAGGGGGCCAGTTCACTGTCCCTCAGACCGTTGGAGGGCCGGACTATAGTTTAAAAAAAAACTATGAACAAATTCCTATGCACACAGCGGCGGCAAAAACACCCGGCGGGCCGGATAAATGCTTTTGGCGGGCCGCATGTGGCCCACGGGCTATAGTTTGAGGACCCCTGATCTACCTCATAGAGTGGTTATGATATTTCAATGACACAAACTGTGATTAATCCTAGGAAAGTGCCTGGCATACAGTGCTATGCATGGGACATACTCAGGAGAACTAGTCGTCATCATGTAATCCACCTGTAATTGATCAGCTTCTCTATGCTAGTTTCTTCTAGTTTGTTCCTTTGCAACAAACTTGAAGCTATCTTGTTCTGTTCTTTCCAATAAAACATAAGAGTTGGTTTACCACTGGCCCCATTTTACAGATGAAAACATTGAGCACTTCAGAGATTAAATGACTTGCCTCATGTCATACAGCTAATCAGTGGGTGGAGGGGGGCAAGGCTGAGGTCATAAGTCTGAGAGTAGGGGCTCCCTGATCTTGGACTCTTTACATAGTATCACGTGTCCTCTTAAATGGAAATTCTGGAGCTGGATATAGATAACCCTTTACTTCTCATCTCCTCCATTCCCACTGAAAATAGGCCAGTATTACCTGGTGTGCAGGCATCATGGACTCAAAGGCAGGGCCATGTTCGCCCTCATTTCTGTGAAAACAGCATGTGGCGTATGCTTTGGTACCATCTTCATGCTCCTCTGCACACACAGGTATACACCTCTGTCTCATTTGTTGACATTCATGATCCTCGATTTGGGAGCAAGAATGTCACTTATCTCTGAAAGTAGGAACTATGATAAGGCCAATTATTCCACTGCCTGAGGTTTTTGAGTCTTTAGTTTTGAACATAAATCACAGTTGGGATTTATGTTTCTGA